ACAAAAACAGACCACACAAACTGGATTCCTGACAACAGGTGTCTTTATGCAGCTAACGGCCTCAAACACTTGCATCTAATTTAGGATAATAAATGGAGTGGAGGAGGACATTTTGAAGGAAGACTAACTGGGTCAGAATTCTAGCTGATTGACAGGTGTTCAAATACTTATTTGCAGCTGGATCATACAAATAGAAAATAAAAAAAAGGATTTTTTCACAGCGAACATGCAACTATGATGACAATTTCAAACCCCTCCATGATTTGTGGAGTGGAGTGGAAGAACTTGCAAAATAGCAGGGATTTCAAATACATATTTTCCTCTCTGTATTTATGTATCTGTATCGTAAATGCTCTTTCCTTTAATTAATCCATATTCAACTCTCAAATGTAATTTTTTTTAATTATAAAACTGACTTGATATTTTGTTCTTTTAAAAAGCTAATTTGCACATCCAGCGTCCAGCAGGCTGAGATGCAGGCATATAAAAAAAGATAAAAATAAAATGAATGTATTCCTTTGTTTTTGAATGTATTTAATTTTATATGGCAATGAAAAATTTAAAAAAATATGTTCAGGCTTGTAGGTATAAGTCAGTTTGGGTTTTTATAACTTTTTTTAGCTAAGGTGATGGCAGATTTTTTTTTTACAGTTCCTCTATAGAATATCTATGCAGAAATATTAAATATGAAATCTCCCATCCTTCTATGCATGAGTAGCACAGGTTTGCAGAATCTTTAATGTATTACAGCTAAAATACTTACTCCTTGCAGATCTTCCGCATTGGTTGGATCTACAGAAAGTTCCTCCATCCCTATCTCCAATATTTTGCCAGTATGCCCATCATCAGCAATACAAACCATGACTTCAGCACATACTCTATCAGCAGCGATGACAGTAGTCTTGACCGCTTCTTCACTGAGATCCCTGAGACTGAGACCATAAAGGGGGTCTACTTCCAGCGTGCCCAGCTGCTGCGTGACCCCAAGGCTTCTTATGTGGTTGACCACACCTTGCAGGTCCTCATCAATGTAGGGGGAAACCGCTATACCTTCCCTTGGAGCACGCTGGAGCAGTTTCCCCAAAGTCGACTGGGTCGTCTTCGATCCTGCACCACCCCGGAGGAGATTGCCCGACTTTGTGACGACTACGATGAAACCTGCAGGGAGTACTTCTTTGACAGGAACCCCACAGCCTTCAGGATCATCCTGAACTTCCTTGCCGCGGGAAAACTTCGTCTTCTACGGGAGCTGTGTGCTGTTTCTCTGCATGATGAGCTTGACTACTGGGGCGTGGACCCGGGCCACATGGAACGCTGCTGCCGGCGGCGGATGATCACCCGTGTGGATGAGGTGGTGGAGCGCCGGCGGAAAGAGAAAGAGTGGAGGCAGAAAAGAATAAAGCTGAAGCAAAGACCCCCACAGACGGAAAAAGGATACCGCAGACTGGTGCTGATGCTGCGGGAAGTGATGGAAAACCCTCACTCAGGTATAGCCGGGAAAATGTTTGCGTGTCTCTCGATCATCATGGTTCTGGTCACTGTCATCAGCCTCTGCATCAGCACCATGCCGGACCTCAGAGATGAGGAGAACAGGGTAAGTTTAAAGCGTTCTCTCGCTTTGTTCCTTAACAGTGACAACAAGGTCAGTTTTGTGTAGTTTTGTTGTTCAAGTTAAGTATTTATTTTTAGCAAAGATTCCCCATTAACCAATTAAAGACCCTCTTAAACCTAACATACATTTCAGTTGGAGGAATCTGCTTACTGTCGATGCAACAAAGGTCTTGTACCATTTGAAGGACCCACTGTGGAGAAATGCACAGTGGGTCACCATATCTAATACTATGCAAAAGTCCTGAGCCAGATCTGATTTATTTATGTTTAGCTTTCAGAGACCTGACTGTCTTCTAAATGTTTTAA